TAGCTGTCCCTGTCTAAGGAGGAACCAGGATTCCTTGTGGACCACAACGCAGCGTCTCTTTGAAGCTATCTGATCTATCTGATCTTTGGGAATTGATCAGCTTACCTGTGTCTAAACTTCTGAAATGGTTTAACAGAGATAATGATATTGCCTGTCTAGGAAAATTACTATAATTATTAAATGAGGCGGTGCATGTAAGGAGCTGCACAGGGTGCCTGGCTCACAGCATGCGGCCAGCATATCTTAACCTGTATTAATAGCAATGTAAATATTCCGTCTCATCTCCATAGTGCTTATAGAGGCTAGATTGCATACTTCGGGTCACATAATAGAGATTGGTTCCATTATTTTTGCATCTAAGTTTTGCTTCTAACTAGAGCGTACCTGACAAAACATTCAGAAACAATAGATACTTAGAGATACATACTATAATTACAAGGCAAAGTCTTCCCCAAAGAGGTAATTAATTACAAATAAACTGGAATGAGTTTCCTCCTCTTTCTCTAAGCTCAGACAAGTGGCTCTAACCTGTCCAAGCACTTCAGATGGAGAGCTTCAGAGACACAATGTTCTCCAGACAATGCAGTCTGTATTTAGCAGTCAGGGTCATTTCTGGCATCAGAACACTGTACAGTGTAAGCTGAATTGCTTTTTCTTAAATGTGAGGAATAGAAATGTTGTCTCTGCCCTCCCCCACCACCACCAAGTATCCCTAGACGCAGTAGAGTTGTCAGTTTCAAGGTCTGAGTAATGCCATAAAAAAAAAAGCAAGATTTCTCTTTGTGGGAAAAAAGTTATGGCCTTCATTTGCAAGTAATTTTAATGAATTCTCTGCGAATATATGCTTTTAAGGCTTTTAGCTGATTTTAAAGTGTGAAGTGCTTAAATCTCTTAAAGTTCTCTCTCTCTCTCTCTCTCTCTCTCTCTCTCTCTCTCTCTTATCAAAAGAGGACAGTGGTCTGAGTGATATTGAGCATCACTGAAAAGCAAATAAAATGGGGAATTCTGGGTAGGCTGATTTCAGATCAGAAAATGACAGTGTAGTCCTCAGGTACAGTGATTTCCTTCAAATCATTGATTCCATATGAGTTCACAAAGTCAGCAGCACACAGCCATCTGGGTAGGCACTGGAGAGTGTTCATGGAGTTGAGACTGGACCTGTTCTCTCACTGGAAAGATGAGAGTTATAGATGACCAAATGACTTACAGCTGGCCAAATGACTTTGCCCAAAGCCAATGGGAAAAAAATTCCCAAATGAAGAATCAAAGCAGGACTCAGACAGATAAAGGCCATAAAGGAGCAAGCACTTTGAGTTAGAGGAAGCAAAGGGTTCAAGGTTCTATAAGGACTGGAGGATATTTCATGGAGGAGGGAAGATCACATGAAAGACAAGAGTCACTAAAGGATGTGCAGGAGCTGGTAAACCACAGTAGGGCCAGGCAGGAATAGGTTCTGTCCATAAATAGCCCACAGGTATAATCCTCAGACTTCTTATGGTTGAGCAAACATGACTACTAGGGACTCAGACTTCTCAGGCAGGACTGCTTGAACAGCATCTGGCATTGGCAGCAATATCAGCCAAAGCCCAAGGGAGAATCTAAAGAATGTCAGAGAAGGGATTAATTGACTCCACTGTCCCTCCTGTAGTCTCCTCTCATGAACTGTCACCATTTGAAAGTGGTAGACTATATTTCTCTGGTGAATGTTGTCATTCCAAAGTCTGATAGACTATGGAGTAGAGCAGCCCATATCCTCCACGTTAAGATAGGACCACATTCAGGAAGCAATTTGTGCCCAGATGGCAGTTTGGGGTTTCTTGAGAAATCATACCCTGGGCTGGCTTCTCCCTTCACCCTGTGATTCCACCTTCTGTTCCTGGTGTGTAGACACTTTAAGTCCTAAGTTAATATTTGCTGAGGATCCTGCTCTTTGGTTTATAAAAAAGGGTATTTAAGTAGGATTGAAAAAAGGGTTACAGCAGAGAACAAAGATGCTGGGTTTGCTTAAGGTAGGTAATCTGATTCACTTAGAAAAGCAGTGAATGCAAGTCCCAGGAGAGAGCTTAGAAACCCAGTTATTAGGCAATACTTTTTACAGTCAATCAATGGAGCAGATGTTGAGAGATATTATCAGAATATCTTTCAAGCAATACTGTTGTGTCTCTCTCATGCATTAAACATCCTCAACTTTCCAACTGTTCAACTGAATAATCTCACAGGCATGTTCTACACTACGTCCTGAGATATTGAGCAGGGCTTTTCTTTGGCTTTTCTTCTTGCGTATTTCCATTTTCAGTTTTACTACTGATATTCCCTGAGATAGTCTTCCAAATAAGCTTCAATAATCCTTGGGTCAGTTTTTTTCCCCTTGAGAAATCCAAATGAAGCCCTGCATCTTCCACAAGACATTCCACACTATCATTACTATCCTCTGCTGAGATCTGGGGGTCTTCAAGAATCAATTTGTGTATGGCACTGTTCTACAGGTTTGGAGCATGCTCCTGGGGGAAATTATACCTTTCTGTGTTTATGAATATTATTACTAAAGATGCATATTTTCTTTTCTAATATTGTGACTACAGTCTGAATAATATAAGTATGTTGCAAGTAGAACATATATGGAGAAAGGGAAATCAAGATTTATTTTGGGGACTTCATGCTTGTCCCATAAACAGTGGAATGCTATACCAGGAGTCTCTGCTTCAGAAAGCACAGAGTCTTAGTTATACACAGTGTACTATGTAGGAGCCATGCTGCTATTATGTATGGTTTTGACTTAGAGGACCTTATCTCATGGTTTTGGAAATAGGAAAGCATTCCAATTGGTTAGCTAGAAAGTAATAAAACTAATTTCAGTATGTAGCTTGCTCTGATGTTGTCTCATGGCTAAGCTCTAAGGAGGAACGCTCCTTGGTTTGGAGAAAAGAAAAGTGATCTTGGGTAAGTGCACATACAGCCCCGCAGTATGGTTGGTCAGCCATTGCTAACATGGCTGGCTAGCAGGTACTAGGCTGTATGAGAGTCAACCGGTTTGTTTAAAAAGTAATCATCATTTCATTCTCTCTCCCATGCATCTTTAGCTCCTTCTAATTCTTCATGTAAGTTTGTCTTGTTTGCACATCAGAACAATGAGATGTATTTTGCCAATTCTGCAAGTCATTCAGTTTTAAATGTTAGCTAAGCTCACCACATATTAATTTCACAAGAGTTTAGTGAATGTTTGTAGTGTATCAGATTCTGTCTATAGCTCTAATGCCTGTTCACTACTGTAACCATTTGATATCTGTTATTTGATAATGGTTATAAGATAATCATTTGTTATCTTTTGCTATATAAGAGAAATATATGTCATATAGTTCCAGGAGTTTCTGGTCTAGTAACTGAGAAAAAAATGGCACAGTATGTGCTGTATAGGGGAAAGGTAAAGTGTATGAGAGTTTAATTCAACATGGCCTCATGAAGATAGCGGGAATGAGAGCAGGCTGAATGTAGTTTCAGACCAGCCTGGTGGAGAGGAGATGGCAGAGTATCTCCCCTATGGACAGCAGGAATCACAGAGCAGCATCCCTGAACTAACATTCTCTCCCTTTCTTTGCCTCCTTTTTATCTGCCAGGAAACCAAAACAGTAGGATGGAGGTGCCCATATTCTTGTCTCCCTTAAATAATAATAATAATAATAATAATACCTTCACTGACACATGTGACATGTGATTTAACAGTTTCACAGGCATCTTTTCATTCAGTCAAGTTAGGTAACCTAGGTTCACCAGCATACTTCGTATTCCCTTGGATTCTACCAGCAAGAGAGTCATTATAAACTGAGATTTCAGATTGGGAGTTCAGGTCCATGAGCCCAAAGCAGATTTATTTTCCATATAAAGTTGCTTAGTGTGAGGTATCATGTTACTATCAATGGGAGTGGACTGAGGCAGCAGTGCTGTTGAAGTTCCAGTATTCAGACACCAGGACTTCATAAGATGGAAGGAGGGCCTTTGAATCAGGAAGAGAAGCATATGTCATGGCTGGATGTGGAGGTAAAGATGGAGTGAGAAAGCTACTGGCTGTCTGCAGAGCTGGGATGTAGAGACTGGCTAAAGTAGACAGGTGAGTCAGATGATGAAGGGTCTCATGCTGTATAGCATAGATTCTTTGGAAGGCAATGAGGACAATGCAAACATTTAAAAATTATTGTGTTTGGTTGCCCATGAGTGTGCAATCTGAGTGCCACAGGGTGTGTGTAAGTGTCTGTGCGTGTGTGCATGTGTGTAAAGGTAAGGAGACAACTTGCAATAGTTGATTCTCTTTTTCATCATGTGGGTCTTTGTGATCAGACTTAAATCTCACTCTATTGCAGGTCATTTTACTGATGGAACCATGTCACTGGGCCAAAACACTTTTAAGAGATTGGTAATGTAATAAAACAATATTTTTATTTCAGTTCCTTCTGGTGTTTCTGAAAAACTGAACTACAGAGGAAAGAAAGGAATGGAAGGAAGGAAGGAAATAAGGAAGAAAGGAAAGAAAGGAACGAAAGAAAGTAGAAAGGTGCCATATAGAACAGAGAAGTTGTACAGGGTAAAGGTCATATGCAAATTGGGCCTTGGTAAAGAGTGTGGGAAGTTGTGCATGGTGCACATGTGTCATCCCAGTACTGAGAGGCAGAGGAGGAGGTATTGGAACAAATTCTAAGCGGGCTGGCCTACATGGCAAGTGCCTGGCATGGGTCCTATAGGAGTGGGGGTAATAAAACCACATGCCACACCACATCTTCCTGTCTCATCAACATCTTTCTCATATTTCTCGTGGTTTACCAGAACTTACTAACACTATTTGTAAAAAGTAAAAAACATTTCCTGTTATTCACTAGCTGGAAAGCATTAGGCGGTCTTAGTAACCACAGACCACAGCCACCACGCCTTTTTGATCATATCTCAGTTCTATAAAAGCTCCTGCAGACCCACGCAGCCCATCAGTTAGTGAGCTGCTCCTCAGAGGTGGTTTCCCTCTTGTAACAGCATGAGTAACGTTCCTCTCTTCATTATCTGGTTTGGCTTTAGCAGGTGGTGCTGTAACTCAGGATATGGACCTTGTCCTCAGACACTCATGTCTTCTACCAGGTAAAAAAGCTGCCTAGAGCTTAGGAGCTCTGTTTCTACCCAAAATTCCTGCCACAGACTGATCTTGACCCTGTGTTCCAAGCTCTATTCTGTTGGCAGCAGGTAAGAATTTTACAGGTATGTTTTTAAATTTTTTTCAGTTGAGTTTCAGTGATGGATTTTGTTTATCCTATGGTCATTTAGTAATCTCTGCAAATGAACTGACTGTTTATAAATATTATGTCTCAGATGAAAAATGACAGAATATTGATTAAGTAACTCTTCTATTTATCTAATTTTCTTTAAACAACTTGAAGAATTTGTTGCTACTAAGAAAAGGAGGGTCTTGAATATAATGTTTCTGTACTTATGCTTGATTTATGATATATGTATATATACATGTACATATATATATCATAAATTACATAACAAAATACAATATACAACATTCTTACACACACACACACATGCATACACACATATATATATGTGTATGCATGTGTGTGTGTGTGTAAGAATGTTGTATTTTCCTACTATCAGATAATATTATTAAAGGTGATTGTATTTTTAGAAGCTCTATTCTGATTGACTTACAGCTAAATTAGTTTTACTAATTAATTAATTAATTCATGCATTCATTCATACCTGCACGTGCTTATGACATATATGATTGTGGAGGTCAGAGAGAGGAATGAAACTCTAGAGAGTATTTGGGACCTTATTAGGTTACGCATACCTCTGTCTCATAATTGGCTTGGTAGTATAGTTCATTTAGCTGGATGTACTATGTACATGTATCCCCCTCTGAACAATGCATAGAGAAACTAGAGAATCCCTTTAACCCCTCACCTGCATTGGGTTACAGATACATCTCTCTCTGAGCAATAGCATAGTCTTCTCTTCCCCTAACAACATTCAAATTTAGACAGTCTCTATTCAAGTATATTTTCAATGTATCTGCTATGAATAGAAGGGTCCATCCAGGCTGAACTGGTTTTGGATATACGTACAGTAAGGTAATCTTAGTCTTTCAAGTAAACTTTTAGGAGAAAATTGTATTTACCATTTTTGCCTTTGCATAATATTTCTTATATATGATTAAAATCATATGCATTATGGGAAGGAATATGTGCAGTAGGAAACATGGATATATGCATGATCTACAGTCAAAATAGTGACCGACCCAAATAGTCTTCTTAATAACCAGCCCTTGTTTTCCTTTAGCTTCCATTAAAAGAGACCCCAGGCTGTTACCTAGGGTCCTTGACTATCCTTACTTACTGGGCCCACTGTCAATCTATTTATTTATTTATTTATTTATTTATTTATTTATTTAATCTCTTTTTAGAGTCCAGACTTTATCCCCCTCCAGGTCCACCCTCTGACTGTTCCCCATCCCATACCTCTTCCGTTGTCTCCACAAGGATGTCTGCAACCCTCACCCAAACTGCCCCACCCTGGGCCTCCAGTCACTTGAGGGTTAGGTGTATCTTCTTTTACTGAGTCCAGACCTGGCAGTCCTCTGCTGTATACGTGTTGGGAGCCTCATATCAGCTGGTGCATGCTGCCTGGTTGGTGGCTCATTGTCTGAGACATCTTGGGGTCCAGGTTAGTTGAGACAGTCTTCTTATAGGGTCTCCCTCCTCCTCAGTTTCTTCCAGCTTTTCCCTAATTCAACCACAGGGGTCAGCAGCTTCTGTCCATTGGTTGGGTGTAAATATCTGCATCTGACTCTTTCAGCTGCTTGTTGGGTCTTTTGTTTGGCAGTCATGATAAACCCTTTTTGTGAGCACACCATAGCATCAGCAATAGTGTTAGGCCTTGGACCCTCCCCTTGAGCTGAATCTCAATTTGGGCCTGTCACTGGTCCTCCGTTTCCTCAGACTCTTCTCCATTTTTGTCCCTGTAGTTCTTTCAGACAGGAACAATTGGGGGTCAGAGTTTTTGACTGTAGGATGGCAACCCCATTTCTCCAATTGATGCCCAAATTTTTTTATGGGAGGTCGGCTCAACCAGCTTCCTCTCCCCACTGTAGGGCATTTCATCTAAGGTTCCCCCTTTGAGACGTGAGAGTCTCTCACGTCCCACGTGTCTGGTACATTCTAGAGGGTCTCCCCACTTCCTACCCCACGAGGTTGACTGTTGTCATTCTTTCTTCTGGCCCTCGGGGCTTCAGTCCTGTTCCTCCAACCCAATACCTGATCATATTTCCCTCTTCATCTTGTTGTCGCCTTTCCTACCCAGGTCCTTTCCTCCTTCCCCCTTCCTGTGATAGCTTTCCTCTCCCTCCCAAGTGGAATTGAGGCATCCTCATTTGGGTCCTTTGGCTTGTTAACCTTCTTGATTTCTGTGGATTTTAATTCTGGGTATTCTGTACTTTTTTTTGGCTAATATCCACTTATTAGTGAGTATGTATCATGCATATCTTTTTGGGCCTGAGTTATCTCATTCAGAATGATATTTTCTAGTTCCATCCATTTGCCTGCAAAACTCATGATGTCCTTGTTCTTAATAGCTGAGAAGTATTCCATTGTGTAAATGAGCCACATTTTCTGTATCCATTCTTCTGTGTGGGACATCTGGGTTGATTCCAGATTCTGGTTATCACAAATAAGGCCACTATAAACATAGTGGAACATGTGCCCCTGTGGCATGGTGGGGTATCTTTTGGGTATATCACCAAGAATGGTATAGCTGGATCTTCAGGTAGATCTATTTCTTATCTTCTGAGGAGCTTCCATATTGATTTCCCGAGTGGTTGTACCAGTTTACAATCCTACCAGCAATGGAGGAGTATTCCTTTGAGTTTCCACATCATTGCCAATATGTACTGTCACCTGAGGTTTTAATCTTAGCCATTCTGATTGGTATAAGGTGTTTTCATTTGCATTTCCCTGATCACTAAGGACTTTGAACACTTCTTTAAGTGCTTCTTAGCCATTCGAGATTCCTGTGTTGTGAATTCTCTGTTTAGTTCTATACCCCATTTTTTATTGGGTTGTTAAGTTTCTTGGTTGTTAGCTTCTTGAGTTCTTTATATATTTTGGATATTAGCGCTCTATTGGATGTGGGGTTAGTGAAGATTTTTTCCCCCAATTTGTAGGTTGCTGATTTGTTTCATGAGGTCCCATTTATCAATTTTTGATCTTAGAGCCTGAGCCATTGGAGTTACATTTAGGAAATTTCTCCCTGTGCCAATGAGTTCAAGGCTCCACTATCAATCTTAGCAGTGTATCCCTGAAACATTTGTAGCATTGCTTCACTAAGAAAAAAAATGATAGTGCTTCATTTGCAAGTCTCCTTGAGCTCTGATTTTTCCATTCTTTAGATAAGAGGCCAAGAAGCTGGGAAGATTGGACAACTCAGAATCCAACTGAGACCCTAACCAGACGTGAAACATTTCCTGAGTCATCCAGGAGGTAAGACAATAAATCCACTGCAATATTACTGTTAAACACTTCCAATATTACATTATGGTCCTCTATCTCATTTGGATATCTATGGCAAGTTGAACTTACTAGTTTAGTTGAAAAGATTCATCAGACAATATTCTCTCTGCACTATAAAATGCAGATGGCTGTGGCTGGACTTTATCCACCATCTCCTTAGCCAGAGAAAGAAAAGATGAAAAGACAATGGGGCAAAACTGAACTCCTGCAGCTTTGATTTGATACATATTTTTTCTTTCCTTTCCATTTCCTTTTTTTCTGCCTTTCCTTTTGATCTTATACAAATCTGATGTGGTTATTTAAGTTTTACTAATCTTGAAATTCAGACATTAGAAATACACACACACACACACACACACACACACACACACACACACACACACATATTTACCATGCTGCTTGAATAGGTGATAGGCTTGCCTACAAAGGCAAGTAAATTCTTGAAAGGGAAAGAAACACAAAATGCTAAACGTTTATTCATTGAGGAAATGTATACTTTTCTAGAATAGGGACACTTCGTTTGGCTACCCTTACTTGATGGATTCTCCTGGATTCAAACCGTCTGCTGTCTGTTATCATCAGTATGTTTTTTTAACCCCCTTTTTCTGTGACTTAATGTCTTATGACTTCTTCAAACATCTCATTACTAAACTTAGGGGACCTCCCAGTCTTCAAGTAATAGAGTGTCTGAATTCAAAGATTCAGAGACATTGTCATTTCTGTCCTGTGAGGTAGATTAATCTTCCTTTTTTGGTTAGGGAAGAATCACTCTTTACTTGGTCCAAACTCATGAAATATCTTATGGCATGCGCCTTTCAAAAATTTAAAGGTATGCATGAGAGGCCATGGCATTTTCTTGACTTACTTAACTGAGTATATGGCCTGCCAGGATCTGATACTGATTATGATGATGATCATGACAACAGTCAGTTACTACTTTTAATTATAGATAGAACTTCTCCTCCAACCCTCACTGAGGCAGTAACTCAATACATGATTCAATGTCTTTCTCAAGAGGCTTACTGGGAAGAGAGTCCCTTGCCGGGTTCCTCAACTGGAGGGTGGCTAAATTGCTATTCTTGCATTGAGGGGTGGCACAGCTAAAATGTACCTGAGAAGAAATTTATTTCTAAGCTTAAGGATATAATAGAGGCGTCAATAACCTTCTAAGGCACCAAAATCCTGTCTATCTTTCCTTTCAAGTGGTCAAGTGGATTCTTTTTTTCACAGAATCAGACTTAGTTCTCCTCTCTCTCTCTCTCTCTCTCTCTCTCTCTCTCTCTCTCTCTCTCTCTCTTTCCTTTCTCACTCTCCTCTACATTGCAAGTTCTCTTTTTGTTTTGCTCTACTCTTCCCTTCAGGTATATCCTTACCCATTGGCAGAAGTTTGACTTAGATATCAATTCATAGGTCAAAATGATAGCTAGGAGGTAGAAAAATGTGGCCCTCAAATGGTAGCCTTAACTATAGCAGCATCCTTCATTCTATTCCAGTTAGATTGGAATAAATTGCCAAAGAAGAGAGGGGAAATGGTATGTGATGCCTTATGTCCAGATATTTATGGTTCTATATCATCATATGAAAAAGACATGTGAAGATAGATGAAGAAAATGTAGATGTAATGGAAGACCCTCCATTTCAAAGTCCTGTTGTCTTTTAGGTGTAATCAGCATCCTGCCCTCTTTGCAGTAGTTCCTAGGTCCCCTCTTATGCCAGAAGAAAAAAAAAACCTTTTTCTCCCCCTGTGCTTTCTGGTGCTCCCTTGAGGTCCAGGAACCATAACCTCTACTTGTCTGTAACATCTGCAGGGAAATCTTATACAATGCAGAAGAAGAAGAAGAAGAAGAAGAAGAAGAAGAAGAAGAAGAAGGAGGAGGAGGAGGAGGAGGAGGAGGAGGAGGAAGAGGAAGAGGAAGAGGAGGAGGAAAAGAAGGAGAAGAAGAAGGAGAAGGAAAAGAAAAAGAAGGAG